TTTATAATTGCAGACATGACGTACGATAAACTAGCGAGAGCTCTGCGTTACTATTATGGAAATGGTATTATGCATCCGAGTCCAGGACGCTTTACCTTTCGATTTGGATCAAAATCCGGTTTTAGCACTTCTTGAAGAACAGTTTTTTTTAGAACAAAACATAAATATCTATAATATTTTATTTAATGTTTACTCCGGATGTAATATTTTTTTTACTTTTTCCTATTTGATGTGGCGACTTTGATACCTGTAATTTACACTTCACTGAACTGTTGCTCAAAAGTTTTTCCTCTTGTTTTGTATGTTAGATGGAATATTAAACAAAAATAAACATAAGTGTCTCTGATTCGATCAACGGTTGTACATTCAGTCAGATGATTCATTTTATTGACTTCATAGTTAATATCGATTGATTGATGTGTGCATCGGCCAAGACAAATCGTAAAACAGTGGCGTACTTTTTGCCTATCTTTCTACGCTTATCAGCAGAACGAGCTAAATAGCGTGCTGAAAAAAAAATATTATGTTTGCCAAAGGTAAAAATTTGTTCTAATAGAACATCAAAATAAATGTACGTCTCTTCTGGTGAATAGCGAAATAAATGACGAGATTTCTAATATTGATAGATGTTGTTTACGAATAGGGACCAGTTTCTACGAACTGTGCGTCCCTAGGTAGCTCACTAAATATAGGTCACGTTTTTACGAACAGAGACGATACGATTTTTCTTGCCATCTAAATAGGAATTTTAATTCAGGAAAGCCATAGCATAATCCTTTTACACTGGGTACCGACGTTTTGCGAGACCAAATTTCGGGGTATTACTCCCGGAATATCGAAGTCCCTAGGTTTTAGTGAAATGTTCCAAAATGATTTCGATGAGTATTATGACATCTATTTGCGTAGGTACTCATTCTAGTAACATATTTCCTGACGATCTCAACATTCTCAAATCCTCATCAATATGCCGAAAGATAAAGTCAATGATTATGTTTTTAGCAAAGGAAGGAATAAAAATAGCGAATTATTCTATAAAATGGAAATAATAGCGTAGGTTTTTCATACAGAAGTGTAGAATCCAGTAATTGTTGTTTATATGAACGATAAAAGACTAGAAATCTTTAAAGAATTTCAATAGCGAGGCTTTTCTTTGGCAAATAAGATGCCCTTGAAACCACCTATCAATAAAACTGTATCAAAGGAAGCTCTGAGAAAAAACTTCTTTCTTTATAGTTTTCCATAGTTTGCCTTGACATTTGCGCTGCATTCATTGCTACTAAAGTCCAGAACGAATTATTATTAGGAAAGTTTAGACACGAATTACAACTAGTCCATCGCTGTCTCTCTCCTCGAGCATCAACGCTTCTTTGAATAACAAATGAAGAGGACGTGAAATGGTGCAAGAAGAAAATAATCGAACAAATTGAATAATCAGATTTAGATCGTCCGCCTTTCGACAATGATATTTTTATTAGGATTTATTTCGTTAAGCTAAAAGAATGATCAACTGAGTCACTTCTTTTGAAGGAAGCGAGGCAGACGCATGCGTGCGAGATATGACTTGCTCTATCAGCTCGTCCCTACTTCCATTCTCGTTGTTTCTTATTCTCTTCATTTGCTAAACATATTCTATCTACAAAGCGTGACATTTTATGATCTATTGTGCTTTCGTCGGCATGTTTAATCGCTCATTGGCGTCAGAATCAAACAGCTGATAACAGTGACCACTAGTCTTGTAAGCGCTTCTGATTGTAACAATAAAGAACGACATAAAATACATAAATGGTGATGAGATAGATTTATAAGAATAAATGCTACTATTTAGTATAAGCAGCATGTTTTCTTATCAAACATGTTTGAATAGAATGTGCAATGTTAAAAAAGAAAATAATACCTAGATGTTCATTACAGCTCTAATTGAAAAAAAAATTAAGAATGTCAGCATAGATTCTTTGAGAGAAATAAAATTCAGATATCTCATTCTTAATTAGTGATTTGAAAAAACGAACAATATCTATGAAGAAAAGAACAATTATATCTGTTTTTACTGATATGAATACCAGTTATCCGTAACAGTTAGTGCATTCTTTTTTTTATTATTGTCTGATATTGAGATTCAAGAATGATTTATTTAATCATATCTCCCGTAACAAAGTCTTATATTTTACGGTTGCTAAAGCAAATTATTATTTTATGTAAAAATGCGCACAAAAACAAGTATGCCACAGAGACAATAATGGATTTGCAAGACACGTTAGCATATGTAGTGTTACTCGATTACTTCAATCACAAAATCCATGATATCAATATTCAAAGAAACACTATCCAATTTATCTATTATTCTCTGGATTCTTAATTTAGTTAATATCTTGATTTCTTCAATAAACAACACCCGAACAGACCAAGATCCAGAAAACGCGCTGAAAGAATTCAAGTAGGAGCTGCGGTTGTAATCATTTAACAACGTTTTCTGAAACTTTTATCTGATTGAACATTAGTTAATAACCTGTTCCAGTGTGTAAATGCACGAATACATATTTTCCAAGTAGCACTCATCATCTTAAAAAGCATGACAAATAAATATGCACTTCGATCAATCGATATACATTTTTTTGTGTCAACATGAATCAGGGTAATTATTTAAATCGGTATTCTCGAATATTGCTAAATAGATGCAATCGAATATTCAAGTAAGAAAATATCATAACAGTGTAATAGTTGCCTAGAAAATAATCAAGACATGACAAATGTAACAGGTGTAACAAATGAGTCAGTCATGATCTTTATTTATTGATATTTATTAATTTTCGAACTAGATTGGTTGGAAAGAGATCTTATCAACTTTTTTCCAATCACGGTATGACGATATAATAGTAGCATGCTTGATTGTATACAAAAAAACAACACATCATCAAAATATCGCCTTGCACTTTAGACCGAAGAATAACAAAACATATGAAATCGATACAGCTTAGCAGATATTCGACTTGTAAAAGGCGTCAAGAGCCTAAATATTTGTAAATTGCACTGCTTTGCATAAGATCGACAATACAAAGCCCAATGTAGTCAATTGGAATCCATTGTATTTTGAAATAAAAACACTGTATTATGATTTTCGCTCTACTAATAGTTACAATTATAAACTTTCAAGAAAACTCGGTGAAAAATATTTCAAAAAAAGTTAATCACTCGACATGATCTAAAGTATAAATTACATTTCGAGCAATTCGATCAAATATCACGTTAATAGTACACAAACAAGCCATCAGGCAAAGTTGAACTGTTTTTCATCGCTTGAGGCGACATTCAATTATCCAATTAGACGTCAAACTTTGTTTGATTTACTATTAATACTTTTTTTATTCGTATCTGCATTTGAAAAACAAAAACATCTTAACGTTATAGTTCTATTGCATGATGGCTGATCACTTCGTAAATATTTCTTGCTCTTAGGTTTATCACATTTGATTTCTAGGCACAATATCGAAAAGCAAAGTATTCAAATTGAGTTAGGTTATTTTCTCNAATTAGTTTGATACTAAATTTAATATTACATCTACGAAACGAGCAGACAACAAAATTTAAACAACAAGTCAGTCAAGTGTAAATTGCAGGTATCCGACTCGCCACAATAAACAGGGCAATGTAAATAGAATATTACATCCGAAGTAAACAATAAATAAAATATTATAGATATTTATGTTTTGCTTTAACAAATTGTTCCCCATGAAGTGCCAAAACCAGATTTTAATCCAAATCGAAAGGTAAAGCGTCCTGGACTCGGATGCATAATACCATTTCCATAATAGTAACGCAGAGCTCTCGCTAGTTTATCGTACGTCATGTCTGCAATTATAAAAAAGAAAGTCTTCAATAAAACGAAATTCTATTCTGGAAAGTCAACTTACTATTATCGCTATTCCGTCCTTTCACATTTTTCCATAGTTCAGCAACTTCTTCTGGTTTATGCAATTTGAAAATACCTCGTTTTCGATCAAGATATTCAGCAACATCGGAATATTCATCATATTCTACTAACAGTCGAATAAATTCATGTAATAAGGGCCTTCGTAGTCGTCCAGTTACTACATCATATACCAGAAACTTTTTAATAGCATCACAACTTGAAGATGAAAACGGCTTAGATGAAGATGCATTTTTCTTCTGACTTCGATGAATACTTTTTGCTGAGGGAGATGATGGATTATAATCGTTCGGCCTTAAATTGCTTTCTCCAGTTGATAGATGAGGTATTACTTTGGATTCTTCAAAAAAACAATCACTGAAATCGATCGGCTTGAAATTTTTCACATCCGATGAAAACGTTTCATCAGTTAGTAGCAAAGCTTCTGTATCATTATTCAATGGATCAAATAGTTCGACGTCCATTCTATGAGAAGATTGCAACGGGTTCACGCCAAATAAACGCATCAGTGTTTCAACAGATTGATAATTTTCTGATTCCTGAATGTTTAATTCATTTGGTAAATATATGCTCAAGTCACACGACGGTTGAGAAACGAATTCGGAGCGGGACATCTTGTCGATTTTCGAAAACTATTCGGAAATTTTTCTATCGTTGTGAATATTTCGTTGCCTTAAATACTCCACAGCTCTCCTTCGCGATTTTTCTGTCAGTAGAGAAAAAAAAATCCTTTCGTTCGGCACAGGTACGTCATTTTTTTTTTCTTTTTTCGTTATCAAACCCGTCCTTTAGATACTTTTTCCAAGCTAGGCAGAACGTGATTTGCATTATTTTTCGATCGATTTCATTTTAATCATTATACATTTTTGTTGTTGCATAATATTTCATGTCAAGAAAATGTGAGAATCCAGATTTCTTTTTCATCCTTAAATTTAAAGATTCGAGGTATCATGACACGTGAGACAAATATTTTCACACACTTACGCATTGAAAAAAACATCACTTAAATCAGGCCAAACTGCATAAAAACTTATTAATTTTACAACTCCAATACGAATGATGTCAAAGCAGTATCAGCTCCATACTCGATCCATGTTGCTATAGTATCGTATTTCATTGACTTTTCATCTCTATTTCAATCTCTATCGGTCAGATAAACCAATCACTTAATCAGAATTAAAACCAAAATCATGTCTATGTAAACACGTTTGCTGCCGAATAAAATCATGAACCGTTTCTGTAGAAGAAAACTTTTGACCTTTGCAGACACGTCTGCCAATTAAAAATGACAAATTCTTTCATCATATCACGAGTCGCAGTTTCGAAAATATGAGAACACAAAAACTATTTAGTCTGTCTAGGTCATATTTTTATTTTATCGAATTTAATCTTTCCCCTCAAATTGAGGTACTATTTT